TCTATGATATATTGAGCAGCAATCGATTGCAGGTTAAAAAACCCAAGCGCACAGCCAACAAATCTGCTTGCAACCAGTTAACGGGGGGGGGTGTAAAATTCAAGTCAATAGTTACAAAATAAGACGTTACAACGGGTTAAAATTACAGCATCATGGGCACGTAGCAAACACTTAACTTTTGTGTTGTATTTTCTTCGGATAAAATAGAGAAATATAAAATCCCTAAAGAAAGCCCAACACGACAACGTTATAAAAATGTTGCAGGCTCGGTTTAATTGAACCTGTTCAGACTGTATTACTTTTTATTTCCATATAAATGCACGAGTCTATGGTGATTTTTTTTATCTTTTGGGGTTATGATATTTAAAAAAAGACATCCATACTATAATTAGTGGGATAGTAGCTTTAATATGCATATCACTTTATTTTAAATTAAAAACAAATGGTAAACAGTATGTTACAAGGACCTTACATAATGCAACCAAATACTTTACAAAAATGCACAAAACACAATAATGCTTGCCACCATTTTGTTTAAGCCACACAAAAAAGAAGTTTAATCACTGGCATGCTGTTAATCATTTAATATTAAGTGTCTTGTTTAACTGCAATGTGATACATGTTTTCAGCGAGATTTAATACTGCTTAAAAGAAGAGTGGGAAACATGATGCTGTAAAAAAAGAAAAAAAAAAGAAAAAAAGGAGAATATAGATCAACGAGGCAAGGGCAACGTTCACAGGACGCAGCCCCCGACACACCCAAGCTACCACAGCAGGGTACCTAGAAGGCACACTAAAATATCGACACGCAACTTGACTTTGGAAAAAAAATCATGTTTGCCCTTCTGATGAGTTAAAAGTTTGTATATGCAACAGAGAGGATAATTGATAAGCACATCTTATTCCGACCATTATCTTGGCGTCTATCATTTATAATCTTACGGCATGTTTGTATCATTTATCACGCATGAAAAATTCTTCAAACAAAGTTACAATTATTCGGTCGTTCATATAAATACATATACGGCACTAAACACGATTTTTTTTATGTTTAAGATGTCAGCATTTTGAAAATTTACTTTTGAAGGAAACGAAAACAAATATGAAAAGTAAAATATTTGAAAAACTAAGCTTATTTGTATAAAATGTATGTCAGGCAGAAAATCCGCTGACAATTAGTATAAAAGGGAGAGACTGTGTTGTTTTTCAGATGCCAAGTTTTTAAGTACAAGTTTGTTTTTTATTCATACTGACATATTATTCTTAATTCACCTTCTGTAGTGACTTATTTCACATTTTGTTATCTTGAAAAGAAAAATGAGAGCAATTGTACTCACCTAGGCGTCGGTTATTTTGAAGCTGTATCCTCAGAACTACTCAGGGAAGTGGATTGAAATTATAGCACTAATTTGCGAGCATAATAGTGCACTGGCAAATGCTCATAACTCTTACATGGCTTTCGGAGCAAACAAAATGCGTTTTTAAATTTAACAAATTTTACATTATCCATGCTATTGTTTCATTAAAAAGTCGGGCACGCTGTCCTACTGATAGCTCTTTTATACACTCTATAAAGAAATTTAAAAAAAATCTTATGAAATTGACAAAATCCTCTGTGATTTAGTTACTTTAGTTACGAAGATACTTTTTTGTGTTTTCAATAATAACATGGATCAGAAATTGTTATTCAGATTGAGTGTTGGCTTTTAACTATAATACATTCGTAGGCAGAAAATTCAACTAAATCCCTTCTATCTAAGAAAAGCGAGATATAAGCGCAGATGATTTCAGTAAGGCGATTCCCTATTGGATAAAATGCTGTTAATGTACAACACGTCGTGGGAAGATAGTGTCACCGAAAGCACCGTAACTCCCCCAAGAATAGTATATAATTATGATCAAAATGAATACGATTTTATCTTTAAAATTAAAAAAAAAATTCAGATTCTGTCAACATCATATGGAATAAATAATATGTGCACTTCTTTTTTCCAATTTCACCACTTCATAAGTAACGTATATTTCTTTGCTTACAATCTTGTTTGAAATTGTATTTAACAGTTAAATTAAACATGTGTCCTTAATCAAAACCCCTATGTTTATATTAAATTGTGAATCTATATGATAAATTATATGTATGTATGGCAAGTAGGTGTAACAATTTGCCTAAAATTCATGATACATATTATTATTTTTGTTTATCCTCTTTTAATATGTTATTGCAATGGGTTTTTGCTCGTTTACTGTTATTGCAATTGTTACATCTTAATACAGGGAAATTAAGTCATCTTAACAAAGGGAGATAACCTCAAGTAAGACATTTATTTTAATTTACCTTACTTATCGATACGGTCTGGAATTTCATATGTTATGTAAGTAGTTTCGTAAGCAATATATTTGCTACAAATATTCTGACGTGTGACTAATCATAAGCTCTAGAATCAGGAAGCAGTACCTTTCCAAATGTCTGACGAAACAATTTTATTTCCTTTTGTTCAAATGAACTAAATTTAAGTATAACATTTTCAGGTTTTACATCAAGCTTCAAGGAATTTAAGACAAGATCCATGATTACACATGATAGTGTATTTTGGTGTATATTCCAACAATTGTCCTGTTTTATGACCTGTGTCTCTGTCGCCTTGCCATTAAATATTTTTGACGGATCCGTTACCTTTTCAGATAAAGATATACTAGTATACCGGTAATAAGAACAAACTCTATATGAAAAAGATTGCGTGTAATTCTCACATTATTCAGCAAAGACGCGTTGCTATAGATGTAATTAAATACGTAAAATATTTCTCGCTATGCACATCTTTTTTAATTGATTTTATTCCTTTCGACTGCAAGGCTACACAAATGTATAGATTTTATATGATTGTTTCATCACTCTATGTTGTGTTCATTGTTTTTCAAAATGTTGAACTGGATTATAAGCCACGCTGTTCCAGCTTTACTAGTTGTGCCCCTTCGAGTGTTATTTCCTTCACGTGCAAGCACCAAAATTGTCGGTGAAATACAATATTCCATGCGACAGCATTTCCAAATGTTCTTCTACCTATACCTAAGTAAATGTTACATCATTTTACAAAGAAATTAAATAGGTAACGACAGATGTCAAAATGTACAAAACACAATAATTCTTGCCACCATTTTTCTTAAGCCGCACAAAAAAGAAGTTAAATCACCGGCATGCTGTTGGTCATTAAATATTAAGTGTCTTGTTTAACTGCAAAGTGATACATGTTTTCAGCGAGATTTAATACTGTTAAAAAGAAGAGTTGGAAACATGATACTGAAAAAAAGAAAAAAAGGAGAATAAAGATCAACGAGGCAAGGGCAACGTTTAAAGGACGCAGCCCGACACACCCAAGCTACCACAGCAGGGTACCTAGAAGGTACACTAAAATATCGACACGCAACTTGACATTGGAAAAAAATTTGTATATGCACCAGAGATGAAAATTGATAGGCACATCTTATTCTGACCATTATCTCGTCGTCTATCATTTAAAATCTTACGGCATGTTTTTATCATTTATCATCATTTATGTCAATTTCTGTTAGAACGATTCACTTGTCCAATCATTACCTTGCTTAAAAGGTCTTAACTGGTACTTTTATATACTTACGTTAAGACGTTTGCTGACATGACATTCTTAAAGCGTTAAAGTAGGCAGACTGTCCATTTCAGTCAATATATTACCTAAAGTTGTATTTATGCTCTTTTGATACAGTGTTTTATTATCAACAATACATTATAATAAGATTCTTCAAGATAATTTATTAGCAGTTACGTTTGTAACTCATATGCCAAACATTACAAAAGCAAGGACAACAATAGTGTAATTGACAAACAATAGACTTTATCCAATATCACAAATCAAAGATATTTATTATAAATAAAATGAAATTAAATTTATTTTTAAAGCATTTTCAAGATAGGGTTTTTGTTAAATCATATAAGTGTATAACACCATTGCATAAATTATATCAGACTTATTTCCCTTCGTACCAGCGAAATAAAGCCATAATCAGCAAAATAAAATGATCATTGATTGTTATCAAAATAATAAGATGTGGTGTTCATTTACTTCCTTGTCACATTTTTAAATTCTTTTATTGTATGTTTTTTTTAGATTTCAATTTAATTATTCCTTTTTAGCATAACTGAACAAAACTTAGATATTCTTGTATTCCAGTGATATTAAGTAGAACCCCTATAGAATTAAATGCTGTTAATAGTAACGAGATATTGTGATATTCTGCCCGTAGAAAACATTCTATGTCCCAGGAGAGTATGAAACAATATCATTGGTACAGTTTTTGTCGGTAGAAAAGGAAAAAGGCGATAAAGCTTTCTTTTTGCGCTTGGAATACACAATTAGAAAGACATTTTTATCATATTTTAGACACATTTTCAATATATTATTTGTGAAACAATTCTGTATAAATCATTTAAAATTTTCAAAGGCATCAGTTAATAACGAGACTTCAGTTTTTAAGTATCATGATCCTACCTTATTGTGTTCAATCTTACGATAAAACATGGGTCAAAGAGAGCATTCTGTATACTAGTACCTATTATCATGAGGCTGTGATGTTACGAAAATTTTCTACCATTGACCAATAATGTCGAAAAGTCGGTAAACAAGAAGTGGATGGGCGACAGACCTGTAATCGCCCCACGGTACGGAACCATATACAAAATATCATGAGGCTGTGATAAGGAAATGCTGGGATGCGGTATTAATCTGTGGTTTTGGTCCACCAACACTATTTTATTACCATTTTATCAGTTTCCGTAAACGCAATAAATTTGTACGAAAAAATCACATAGAAACACTCTTGAAATACAAATGAAAATACTGTTGTTTAACCAATCTTTCCATATATACGTATATCTGCACTTAAACACAGAGAAAGTTTTTTTTGTTCAGTAAATAATCTATTTATTTAGATAAACATAATATGAAATTTAAACCTGCCTTTTTATTTGACTAAATGTTTACAACCTACTTTATACATAAGATCATGCGTTTAACATATTTTACTTCCTGATTTATCCTTTATAAACAGGTTATTGACTTAAGAGGGAACATAAATAGTTAAAAATGCTCTTTGGAATTTTGATATTGCAAACATGTGAGTATACATTTAAATCGTAAGAAGATAACTAATTTGTTTTACATATATGTAACTCTTTGATTGTTAAACAGATCATGAATGAATTTGTGTTAAAAAATACGTTTAATATATTGAACAGTTTGAAGTTGTAAATATATATAAATGTATATATGTTATCTTGTATAACTTTTATGCATATATGTACTTGTTATATTAAGAAGTGTAAAGGTGAATCTGAAAACACATTGATTATACGTAATCAAATTAAAACAATGCAATAGTCTATTGGAATATAGTTATCTCTCTCCTCAGTTATTCGTTACTGTAATATTACTAGTCTTTCAATGTTTTAATTATTTTAATAATATTGACTCTTACATTCAGTTTGTTTATATATTGTTATTATTATATTTTTTCCTAACAAACTTTTGATAATATGTACTACAGTCTTGGCGACAAAAATGCTATTAAAATGTGTATATTTTGAGAAATATTTGAGGGACTGCACAATGAAGAGTAATGCTGTTATAATACATATAAGAACATTATAACGACAAAACTGGTGATACCACAAAGCAACTTTTGACTAAAAGTTGAGAATGTTCCATACAGACAACTTGAACAAGTGCATAACTAATTGAGACTGCTCAAATAAACAGATATTGCAAAAAGATTCGAAATAAATTATATTCAATAATTTTGTTTAAAGTTATTTCATAGCAAGTTAACATTTTGTTTAATTTAAGAGATAAGAACTGCCTGTATTTCAATTTTAACAAATTATAATGCATAAACTTGAGTTCTGATTGGCCTAAAATCTTTGTATAATCTGCCATATATACAATGAAGAACCAAAACTCGCAAAAAAATGAAATTGAGTGTATTTCTGCATCAAAGATGATTAGATGTAACTACCATCAAACTTGGCACAAATGTTGACTGGACCATTGCCTTTGTAACAACATGCCAGTCTTAAATTTCCTGTTACCATGGCAACGAGGGGACATCTCAAAATTGCCAAAAATCACTATTTTGCGTTGATTTTTTCCATCAAAATTGATTTCAAACTACTGCAACTTCTGAATGGATTCAGATAGAGTCAAAGGCTTTTCAGCGTTGGTTACACGTTACCTTATGATTGACCTGGGGTCATTTGTAGCCTCTTACAAGTCCAAAATATTCTTGGCGATGAGGGGGACAACCGCCCCTTCTTCAAACCCCCCAAACAGAAGGGGGCACATCCCCCTTCTGGCAACCCCCTGATGAACCTTTTGGATGGGGGGCGGCGCCGAAAAAGTGCTCACTTTTTTATCAACATGTCTGAAATAACAACATGTGTTTGGGGCCCAAACAAGACATTTTTCACTATTTGAAGCCTAAAAGACGGGGGTTTGAAAGTGCGTTTGTTTCGCCTATCTATGAGGTAAAGGGTCAAATGTATCAACAGTCTAATGAACGTGTCGTCAATAACTTTTCGAGATATTATAAAAAACGACAACAAGACAAAGGACGTCGTTATACAAGAACTGACTGTATATACGGGAGTGCGTACGAGCATGCGTGTGTGTGTGTGTTTATACTTGCCAACAGTTGCCCATATAGGCGAGTTAACCATATAAGTGTAAGTCATTTTAGATTTTAAAGGATAGAAAAATGTCCCAATTCTCTTGGTTATGCCGTGTGTCTAGTAATTTAGTTAGCCATCCGGAAAACAAACCCACATTAGCGGTGGTCCATTGGTCCGAGACCACCTGATTTTGGCAAGGACCACCTGATTTTACAGGCAACTGGTCCGTTAGACCACTTGAATTTTCCAAATGGTGCAGGGCTCATCTGGGAGAATGGTTATTTGGTCGAAAAACGTGTTCTATAATTGTTGTTTAAAACCATTTCTCCGATGTACAGGTATATGTTCATTCATCTCAATAGTTCAAAAAGATCTTAAGACATCCATAACGTTTTATTAACTCGCTAACAGTGTAGTAAAAAAAGTAGAAAATTATTTTAATAATTTAAGTATAAAATTCATTCAAATGTCTCTAGTACTGCATTGAATTTATAACATTGTATCACTATGGGATATCGGATAAGCACATGAATAATGGTGCAACTAAAGGCAAAGGAAAAATTAAATATCTAGTAATCTTTGGCTACTTTTTTAAACGATCAGAGATCCATTTTTTTCTTATTTAAAGCACTTTAAAGGGTTATAAATACTTTGTCAAAAATAAATAAATTTCAACAAACAAGCATGTATAATAAATCTGTGAGGACGATAAGCTCAATTATTATGTAGGAATTTTTCTGTTTATCATTAATATTTCATTGTTTCAAAGACAAGAATATAATAACTTAATAGTTTAATTAAAAATGTTAATCTATAAAAAGCATTTATTATTCTTATAAGATGTACAAGGAAACAGCAATGAGTATTTGAATAACAGCAAGGAAATAAGTCATTCACAAATAGTTTCACTATTCCCTAACTTGAGTTGCGGAAGAAGTCACTTAACCGAAGTATGAGTACTGTCATGTATTTTTCAATGAGATAATAAATACTAAATAGGATTACAATGACTTACTATATGATCTAAGATTGAAATAGAAAAAAAATGCATGTTTTCTTCAGTTGTTATAAATCTTATAATAAATATGTCTCTGTCACCAATTTTAAGTGTAGTTCTTCTAAATCTGAAGTTTCCTTAAAAACAAATGAGTAAAAAAAAGATGGACCACCTGTGTTCAGAAAGGACCACCTGAATTTTGGATCCAGAGGTCCGGCATACCACCTGCTGAAAACGTCGAGACCTGCCCACATTGTCGAGATTACAATTAAAGAAAATAAGAATCCCTAAAGAAAGTCCAACAACGACATACTTGAAAATGTTGAAGGCTCAGTTTGATTGAGCCTGTTCATGGACGGATCTGTAAAGTACAAACTACCGTTCGCGCCCCTAACACCGGCTTAAGCAGAATTCAACATTAAAACATGACAAACTAGATCAACAAGGAAAGGCGGCGTTCAAATCGTGTAATTCTTAATTTAGAAGCATCCACAGATGTGTTCATACGGCGAAACTTTCAATGTGACACGTTAGTGCCTTTCCATGAAAAGCGGCGTATGGTCCCCAATTAAAAAAATGAGTGCCCTAAATGAGAAAACAATGGGTGGAACTAAATAAAATGGAATGTTGAAAGGGGATAACAGGTTATGAAGCCTGCATATCACAGATAAGACTTTAAAAGACAAAATTAAAATGCAGGCAACATATCCTAAGGGTGATTCCACATTATTCAAGTAGGAATATTGGAACAACCCAACAAGAAAATGCCAAATAGTGAAAACTAAAATGTACCACAAACACAACAATAATGTCGTTCTGAACGACCTTTAAGGACCGAAAATATAACATCTCTGATTGAATGTACGGGACGACTTTGAATCGATTGAGCTGTGAGGGCTTGCCAGGCTGGTACATATTTATCTTCTTCCGGCAATTTTCTCCCGTATATCTTGTCAACAAATTCTATAACAAAATTAGATAAATAATATTAATAACGTACGCGTTTATTATGTATTCTATGCTTTGTTAAGATTTTAAAGAAAACTGTGTATGTTTTGAGTGCCTGGAATTATAAAGGATGAAATGCATTTACAGAGTTTTTGCACACTCTTTTGAAAAGATAAAACATGAGTGAATATGTAAATTGGTCTCTGTTTGAATAAAATTAGATAAAAGTTCCGAACTTTTATTTGCACATTTGAAAAGCACAAACAACTTCTCATCTCTGATATACTGAGGAGTCAGGTTTAGTGGAAACCCGGGTTTCGCTGTTCTCGTATTTAAACCTTAATAAATCTTAATTTCGGAGAATAAAATCAATCACTTTCACTTTTCAAATAAGAACATGGAGACAAACATATATTCAACGTGATCATATTTTAGGGCAACATATGTCAATTAAACAATACTAGGAGCTGGATTTAGAGAATTTTAAAATAAATCTTACTTCTTATACCTATATAAAATTAAAACTTGTGTTCAACACGACTTCTAGTGTTTCTTTCCTTTATATTTTTATATGCTCGAAAGAAGACCCCTATTGATTTTGTGTTCACAAGGTCCGAGGTCAAGGTCATCTTTACATATTCCGGAGCATAACTTAAGTTCTATTTAGCCCACAGGTTTCAAACTTCATAGGATGATTGTCCATATTGGGTAAAAGACCCCTATTGATTTTGGGGTCATAAGGTCAAAGGTCAATGTCACTATTACTTTAAAACTGAAAACAGTTTCCGGAGCATAAGTTAAGGTCTATTTTGCTCACAATAGTCATACTTCAAAGGATGATTGTATATATTAGATAGAAGACCCCAATTAATTTTGGGGTCATAAGGTCAAAGGTCAAGGTCATAATCACGTAAAAGCTGAAAACAGTTTCCAGAACATAACTTAAGTTCCATTCGTCCCACAGTGTTCAAACTTCATAGGAGACAAAAAAATATAAACAGTTCAGCAAAATAAACCATCTCAAATTATTCTCGGCTACGTTACATGCAATGAAATGTTTGACTTGTGTGTTAAAATTTAGTAAATGCTACATCTTATCTCTGAAACTAAAACCATAAAAATAATTTTGCTAATTCTATAACAATTATAAATAAATTCTTGCATTCATATTGTATTAATTTTGCATTCTATTGAATTGTTTTAACTATTCGATTATCCATTAAAAATTATAATTCTTTGATGGCTGTTTAAAATGAATGTAAACGTTCTAAAATGTTTATGTACGTTTAGTTATTATTTATTTGATATTCAAATGACAGGTTTGTTTGTGGTCAAAGGCAGTGTAATCTTATCCCCATCTCCTGCTCTCGCAGCTGAAGGAGAATCCTTTACATGGACATGTACATACAGTGGAAGTGAGACAGTGTCAGGTTTTATATGGTCACTGAATGGAAATACACTTGCAGTAATCATATCACCAGCATGTACACCATTTGCAAGTCCCGGACCACCAGATTCCTCACTTTATCAATATGCCTGTCTATCTTCAAGTCAAGCAACATTTACAGTTAAACAGATTTCTAACATGAATAATGGTAACATTTGGCGATGTGCAGTTGCTGCTCCAGGATATATATACAGTAGTAATGTTACTGTGACAGTTCAAGGTAATTACTATAATAATAATAATAATAATAATAATAATTACCACATTTCTATAGCGCCCTTCTCAAAAAATAAAATGTTCAAAGGCGCTTTACAATGGAATTATATACATTTACAATCACTTTATAAACAAACAAAAAAGTAATAAAAATAATTACACACATTTATGTATACATTTACAAAGTATAAAATATACCATGATAAATCTAAAAGTCTAAAACTCAGTCGATCAAATAAAAAAATGTATATGAAGAATTATCTAAGACTTGAAAATAAAATAAGGAAACGTTAAAACTATTAAAATTGTTGTTTTAATCCAAATGTTTCAAGACAACTGATGAATTTTAACGCATCACGATCTAAAAGTTTGTCTACATGAAGGTTGAAGTCCCCGACAATTATTACCGGTTTACCAATAGTTGCATATTTCGAAAGAAATTACTCTATATATTATGTATGAAATCTTACTGTAGCCTCAGTTCTAGGATATATATACAGAAATAAAGTTACTGTAACAGTTCAAGGTAATTACTCTATATATCATGTATGAAATCTTACTGTAGCCTCAGTTCTAGGATATATATACAGTAGTAATGTTACTGTGACAGTTCAAGGTAATTACTCTATATATTATGTATGAAATCTTACTGTAGCCTCAGTTCTGGGATATATATACAGAAATAAAGTTACTGTAACAGTTCAAGGTAATTACTCTATATATCATGTATGAAATCTTACTGTAGCCTCAGTTCTAGGATATATATACAGTAATAATGTTACTGTAACAGTTCAAGGTAATTACTCTATATATTATGTATGAAATCTTACTGTAGCCTCAGTTCTAGGATATATATACAGAAATAAAGTTACTGTAACAGTTCAAGGTAATTACTCTATATATCATGTATGAAATCTTACTGTAGCCTCAGTTCTAGGATATATATACAGTAGTAAAGTTACTGTGACAGTTCAAGGTAATTACTCTATATATCATGTATGAAATCTTACTGTAGCCTCAGTTCTAGGATATATATACACAGTAATAATGTTACTGTAACAGTTCAAGGTAATTACTCTATATATCATGTATGAAATCTTACTGTAGCCTCAGTTCTAGGATATATATACAGTAATAATGTTACTGTGACAGTTCAAGGTAATTACTCTATATATTATGTATGAAATCTTACTGTAGCCTCAGTTCTAGGATATATATACAGTAATAATGTTACTGTAACAGTTCAAGGTAATTACTCTATATATCATGTATGAAATCTTACTGTAGCCTCAGTTCTAGGATATATATACAGAAATAAAGTTACTGTGACAGTTCAAGGTAATTGTCCATCATTTTTATATACAATCATTGTGGAACAAAACAATTAAGGTAATGGTTATGTCATTTATGTCAACAGTTACATTACAGTTAAATGTACTTTATAAATAATAACAAATTGATGTATGTTATATATTATTCATGCATACACTAGCGTTTCTTCCTGAATTTGACTGGGTAATATTTTACTCTTATCGATGCAGAGTGACTATTATAATGCGACAGTTATAACAATATTTTATACACAGAGTATAGATAACCAAATCTTAAATAAGTGCAGTTTTTAATACGTCAGAAACTTGTTCAAGTAATTGATACATCTGTACCGATTATAGCTTAACAATCATTTATCGGTTTATAATAGAGTTAATGTGTATTGTAATACTATGACAGTTTAGGCAATACTTTAATTAATTTTATTTCTTAATGCCTTTTTTAGATAGATAAGAATTCCTTATTTTCAACTGTTTATTTGAACCGCTGAAATCATATGCATTATTAATGATGAAATATACTGTTAATCGGTCAACATTTTTAATGTTTACTCGCATGTCATCAGGTACTTCTGTAAACGCTGCACATCACTATTCGGTAATCGAATGCCGATCAGCTCAACGTACGATACTGGTTTCTAAATAATCAAACGTCTGCGGGATTCGTCTTGGTGTTGACAGTTGAAAGTAAAGTAAACATTTTCGATTCGTTTTAAGGACATATCGGAGAAAACACTGGGCAAACTATTTGAAAATAGAGATTCGCTTAGCACTAAAATGTTTTTAATGTTATTAAAGTTCCAGCGGCATTTTCTTCGCCATTTGTACCGAGAAGCTAACTTAAAGATTTTGCAATAGAAGAATGAAATATCAATGAACTAAACTCTCTGTTCTCTAAGTGTTATCCTTTGGCGAGAAAGAATTTTTGACATTACAATTGAAAGACTTCCCCTTAAATTGTGTGTCCTGGCAGAATTTAAAAGAAAGCAGTCCGGCATGACACCAGTGAAAATACAAAAAAAGAATGTTTCATTGCAGTTAAAATTTTTACAGTGAAAATGCGGAAAATGAAAATACGCATTTTATTTTATCAATATTTCTCAATATTTCTTTTATAAGTTACTGAATATAATAAATGCACTTATTACAATACACGTACTGTATTTAACTTGCTTGAAATGGGGATATTTAATAAATACCAAATTGCGGTATATTGTATATGTTTGTTTTATTTCTGTTTATCTCTATTTTAATTATATGTGATTATTGTTATTCTGCATTTTTTATGGATTTTCTTTGAAGAATGAAAGGAATTTCAATGTCTATTAGCAGTCATCACTTTTAAATTATAGAATATATTATAAATCAAACCAAAGAAATTGAAAATGTTATAAAATATATGTCGAGCAATTGACATTTATAATATTTTAAATTAGACTAGTCCGATATGATTTAAAATTTCCCTGGCATTTTGTTCTGTCGAAGTTGAATACAACTTAAGTTTTTTTGGTACTATCTTAGGAAAAGTTAATTCAAGATCAAGTTTAGGTGTTGACCATATATAATTATATAGTGACACAGTTTCAATCGACTGACTTGCCTTTGTAAAAACATAAGACTGTACTTTACAATCAATCTTTTTTATTTTACAGTTTTTGTAAGAAGTGTTAGTTTAACACCACCTACTGGATCTATAAGAGAAAATATTGAGTCAACTTTAACCTGTGAGACATCTACTTCACGACCTGCAGCAAATATAACATGGTATAAAGAGTCTACAACTGGTCAAAAACTGGTGGTAACAAGTAAATACTTTTCTACAATAGAAAGTGTTGGTGATTTAGAAAAATCAACGAGTGAGCTCAAGTATACGCCATCGAGAAGTGACAACACATATAAGATATACTGTCAAGCTTTAAACATTCCAGGAAGAACCCCGGTGATATCAACGAAGTTTCAAATGGATGTTCAATGTAAGCTTTACTATCAAGCACACAATAGTCAAGTTAATGTTATACAAAACATGTATAAAGGTTTATTTGGAGCATGTAATGATCCACTACACAGCAATAAAACATGTCAAAAGTCACTATTTCAAATTAAAAATGTTGCAGCTTTTAAGTTTTTTTCTATTGAATTAACACTAGCCGTTGATGCAGACAGTATCAAGATAATAATTTAGTACTAGACTAAATGTGAATTATATTCTTGTTTTGAAAAGTAATATATGCAAACAAAAGTTTATAGTGAAATTTACTCCATAGTAACAACTATTTTTCTTAATTAAGTTTGCATAACAATAAAACTTCATTCTTTTATTCGTACACATAATTATATTTTGATAACACACTCAATTAATTCCATGAAAAACATTTTCACAATACGTGTATACTCGTATATATAACGATATAACCACTGACTGACGGGCGTCTTGAATAATTATCCATTTATTAAAATATTTGCTCGTACATGCATTTCTTTCAATGTCAGTGTCTTATATGCAAATATTACAAGTTTTTATTAATCCTACAAAACTGAAATATTGATACGAGTTGAGTTGATTATGAGCGATTTGTTATGAAATAATATAAGTCATTATTTCACATTTGATCATAATTCTTACCGTTGTCCTGATACCGGTTATTTACAGATACCCCAGAAAGTGCACCTTATATACAAAACTATTCTAATGGAAATACTTACAAAGTCATTGAAAATAACCAAGGTAAACTGTCATGTATTATTAAGGGAGGTAATCCACTATCAACATTGACATGGAATTGTTTTAACAATGGATTGTCTACAAAAACAAGTGGAACAACAGTTACTAAGACAGTAACATGGTCTGCCACACGTGGTCCCGACAGATCCTGTACTTGTCAATCTTCACATCCAATAGCTGGGACACAGTCTGTCTCTGTCAGTGTGCAGGTTTTGTGTAAGTTGTCATGTTATCTATTTACGTAATTTTAGCTTAAAACTTATATGATTAAAACTCTAAACAGCTTCCGGAATAAGTTTGCAAATCCGGGATTTATACAAACTCAGCTACCCTTTCTTAAGTAATTAGAGAATGAATGAAGAGTTCAGTCAACATAGTGTATAAAGTTAAAGATCCTGTATGTTTTGTGATTGATATTGTTACTGTGTGTATACCACACGTGCAAAATATTATATATGTATATAATAATGCAAATATAACAATTTTCAAACATCGAAGACTATGTAAAATGTGTTCTGCAAATATTTGTGCACATCATATTTAATAAATAAATTATATGCATTCATTTCTTATTGGAAAAGTTGACTTAGATTTAATAGAAAATAAATTTCTAACTACCTCCCTTTATTTACATGAAATGTAAAATTCGGTTATACTTTATAAATAATGCTTATTGGAACTTTCAATATTGACAAATCTTAATTTGAGCATCATACGTTGGGTGTCCCAGAATTACGTGGACTTTTGCTGTAACTCAAAAACTACTGAAAATAAAAACAAACAAAATTAACATGAACAAAATGCAACTTTATTGCATTAGTACAAAAAATTTCAAAGTTGTCCGGCAACTGCATCAGTGTCTGTCGGCAGGGTAATGAGACAAGGGGTAGCGGGGGCGGGGCAGTCCATTCCGACGTCATTCCGGTGGCGTCGCTAGTTGTTAATAAATGCGTGGCGTCGAATGTCAGTTTTTCTCAACATAGTCGCCGCCTAACTCAATACACCTACGGTGTCGATATATCCACTGGTCGTACACCGCCCTGTATAATAATAATAAAGCATACTATTAATTTTTGTTACGATAATAGTGTTAAAGACGACGGTGATAATGCTGACGCCGTATTATTACTATTATTTTTATTATTATTATTATTATTTATCATTATTATTTTTTTTATTATTATTATTATTCTTTTTATTATTATTATTATTATTATTATTGTGGAGTTTTATTTTGTACGCAAAGACAATGTGCGTTAACAAGGGAAATAACCTATCATGCGCACTGCTTACTATAGCAGTTTGAGTTCACTTTCTTAAAAGCTGAAGCGGATAAATTGCGTTTAAAATAATAAATTGTGATTAGCTTAATTATTAAAAATCATTTTTCTTAAACACAAAATTATTGCTTAACCTTGAATAGTACTCAGCATTGACCTTGGTGTAACGCCTGTCCCGATCTATGACGTCCTTGACTTCCTAAATTGACGCCGCAGTCAAAGTTGATTTTCTCCCACGACCCTTGTCGTCTTCAATGTCCTCTCGGCCGTCTCGAAAACGCTTATGCCACTTGAAAACGAGTGTTCGACAAACAGGAGGTATCACTTTTGCAGTCTCCAACATTTCCTGCGTCTGTGTTGGCGTCTTCCCAAGATTAACACAAAACTTGATGATAGTCCGATGTTCCGCGTAATCCGTGGACGTCATTTTTTGTTAAATATCCAAGAGCAACGGTTGTCAGTTGTCCGCTGGTAAACAATAACGAAAACAGCTATGCCGTCAAAATTTCAAACGAACGTTCATATGATGTCACTGCATATGCTCACGACGTCGCGCCATTTTTTACGTATAAATACGCAAGATATACGAAAGTAAAGACAACTTATTAATACAAAATATTGGACTGCCCCGCTCTGTGCATACTGCGTTACTATAGCGACGTAAAATATAGAGAAGAAATGTTGGAAATTTAAAAATAATGGACATATTCATTAAGGATATGTTAAAGGTATTGTGTACAAATTTGCTAAAAAATGCATTAAAAAATAAAAAAGTTATAGCAAAAGTCCACGTAATTCTGGGACACCCCTCGTATTTATGAAATAAAAGCATGAACAAAATGTGTTACAGGATCATTAAACAAAAGGATCAGCAAGCGTTTAATTGTCTACAGTAAATCCACAGCTTTGAACTTCAAATATCGATTGTATTCACATTACTTCCTTTACACATTTTATATGCATTTATCTCTCAAGTTAAGTGATCATGTAACATTTTATTATGCATCATTTAAATGTCTCATTAAAATGTTCGAAGATTGATACTGAATGGATATCTAAAAGAGCTGGTTGGTTCGTTAGAAATGTACATGGTACAATTCTACACTAAAATGAAATATTTGTTTATTAACATTGTGCTTTTTAATTCATAATATTAAAGATTAGGTATGCATTACTGTTGAAATAGAGAAAGATTTATCGAAGCGATACCTACTATAGACTTAAATTGGATGTCTTTATTAAGTTTTGAATATCTATAGTGAATATATTGTCTGTTTTTAGATACGCCGGACAGTCCAAGATTCAAAGTCAAAAGTACTACAGTTTCAGGGCCTATTAACTTTATTGATGGAAAGTTAAGCTCTGTTGTTTGTGAAAGTAATGGTAAACCTAACCCAGACAGCTACAGTTGGAGTCAGGCAGGTAGTTCTACTACAGCTGGGGATACACTCACATTTAACCCTGTCCAGAAACAAGATGATGGTCAGTATACATGTACAGCACAAAACACAATGGTACCATCAAGCGGAGATACACAAATAGGAAGTAATAGTTCTACTGTAAAAATAACTGTTCTATGTAAGTTTTCAACATTTCTTTTAAGTTAATAAAGAAGGATGCAAACATTACTCTAAATTGTTGATTTGATCATTTTAGTAACCTATTTAAATGTAAAAGCAATCATGCCGATTGCAGTGTGAACCCTGCAGACATTTATAAAGATTTTTATGAGATTGAGCATACCGTTTTTATTCCTGATAATGTCTGATATCATAAAAACATTTAATGCAACGCGTTAGTTTCAATCCATGAAAAGCGGCATATGGTCCCCAGATGATAGAATACATGTTGCCTACAATAAGAGGAACTAACTAACAAAAATATTGGAATTTTGGAAATTAATATTTGCAGAATAATGCTCCATTTTGTCACCTTTTTTTAAATTTTCAGTGCTGAGAAAAGTGCTGACAGGTTTTGTTTTCAGGGAAATAAATCTTTTTGTTTAGCGTTCTATCTAAAGTTATAAAATGGGTTCCAGTGATAACTATTTATAGCCGGGTCTTTCTCAATACAAACTATAAGACCAAATGTTTGCCTGTAAATAAAACGGTTTTGCTTGCTGTTCACACACTTTTGCAGTTATTGATTTTATCTTAACAGATGCTCCAGTGATAACAACATTGGATAATCAAGACATTTTGGCAGGTTCAAATGTAAGTGTTCAATGTCCTGTAATAAAAGGAAACCCTGAATTTACAACATTTAGGTGGACAAGGAATGGTGATAGCAGAACATGGAAGACACAAACACTGTACATACAGAATGTTACTAAGTATGATGACATGATGTATACGTGTACCGTACAAAACATATTCAGACCAACTGGGTTTCCCACGGAAATGGGGAAACAGACGGGGGCCCTTCCTTTCCCCCCCCTCAAATTTTTCTTTTTTAAGAATTTTTTTACTTTTTGGGGTATTATTTTTTTTTTATTATAAATTTAAAAAAATAGGGGCCCAAAAATTTTTGCAGGTTTACCAGTCGGGTTTTTTTTTATTTCTTTTTATAATTTTAAAGGGTTTTCCCTCCTTTTTTTCCTATAATTTTTAATAAAAGATTTTATCTTAAGAAAAAAAAAATAGAAAATTTAAAATTTTTTAAAAATTTTAAATCTGTGTATTTTTTTAAATATAAATTCAAAAAGGCATGTCGTGAATCTCTATAGATTTTGATAAAACGAAGACGAATGATCATTTTGTAGTATTTTACAAAAGTTGTTAAAATTTTCAGTTCACTTCTGAACCGTTTACTAAAAAACATGTTAAACAGTTGACTCACTTATTTGCTTATGTGAGAGATTTTTCAGATTTTTGTCACTTACAATCCTTAACTGTTGACATTGAAGGTCAAATTATTAAATACTTGTACTGCTAAAATTAGCTGTAACTTTCAAATTTATTTAGGGATTCCATCAACAGCACTTATGCCTTAACTATCATGACAAAATAAATAAACAAATAAATTAACAAATAAAACCTTTTAATGGCATTGACCATGCTTAAGCTTGGACTAGGGGGCGTGGTGGTAGTTTGCACTTGACAGTACCGTTCATGAACAGGCTCAATCAAACCGAGCCTGCATTCTTTTCAATTTTGCCGTCTTTCTATAGGGATTCTATTTTCTCTATTTTCGTTATTAAATTTTGCTTAACTTATGTAAACTTTCTTATTCATTAAAAAATTAGCCTAAACTTGGTGAATACAGATGTATTGAATCGTTCAAGCTTTATCTTGACTTAAACCTTTTAAAGACCTTGGCCATAAGGGTGGAATAATATAATTTTACCTAAATGTGTGGTAACGTGCTATTTATTTAAAGATAACATCAATAATTTGATGAAATGACACGCATGTCAAAAATTGATCTGTTGAATAATTCACACATTTCCTTTACCTTATAATGACAACGACCTTTAAAACCAAATTATTAAATTTCACCTGAGTTGTGTTACCTTTTTACTTGGATTTGATTCATATTTTTTTACTAATTACCATACCAACATGTTGACTTATTCAAGTTTGACCTTGCAATTAAAGTGGCTTTGACAGATATGATTCATACTTTAAAAACCAACTCGGATTACTGTAAACATAGACATATTAAAAAGTACGAATATTATTTGTAAATGACCGTTACTATTTAGGTAAAATATGACATTTTAATTTCATTCTGTTCACAGAAATATATGTTTAAACATGCACATTCACTACAATGTTCTTCCCTAGATGGATATTAGAAAAAGTGGCGCGTTGCCCCTGCTCGACTGTCGCTTTTATTGTGTAACCGTTGATTTCGTTTTTCCCGATGAACACAAAAATATGCTACAACGTAAAATTGTCATATACTAGTTATACTTAAGATTTTGTGGTAAAGTATGTGTTTACAGATTTTACTAGCTTTATTTATTACTTATTTCAGATATGGCATCAGTAACATCATTTATTATCAAAGGAAGTCAAAGTTCACAACTTTCTGTCACAGTGGATGAAAAAGCAGATGTACAATTCATTTGCACGGTAGACAGTAACCCTGGCTCCAGTATTAAAATTCAACTTCCAGACAAAACATTTTATAGAAAGGAAAGTACCAGAACTTTGATTTACAATCACACTGAGGCGACATGTGTTGATACCGGTGTATATACATGCTCTGCTAGTAATGCGTATAATTTTGGAAAAGTATCTGAGAAAAATCTAACTCTGTTTGTAAGATGTGAGTATTCAAGTAATTCCAATTTTCAACCATGGTTCATGTTTATTGGTCGTTTATAATTGATATTGAAATACTTTGATAAATGTTTCAGTCAATTTAAAACTAGTTACTCCAACAAGATAATTTGTAACATTTAAATCTCTACTAAAATCACACAATCTTTTATGCGCAATGTATATGTCCTTTTATGCCATCCGTTCGTAAACAAAAGAGTGGCCTTAATTTATTTCTCCCTATTTTTGCTCACCTGAGCTAGCTCAAGGTGAGCTTTTAGGATCGATGAATGTCCGTCATCCGTCCACATTTGTTCGTTAACACTCTAGCGGTCACATTTTTCTAGCGGACAAACTTTGTCAGGATGCTTGCCTAGGTAATTTCTCGGATAAGTTCAAACATGGGTCATCTCGGATGAAAAACTAGGTCACAGGAGCTAAAAATGGCAAAATCTTATTAACACTCTAGTGGCTACTGTTTTGATCTAAATATCCTGGAAATTGGTCTGAAAGTTTGTTTGCATGATTTCTAGGTCAAGTTTGAAAATGTGTAACCTGGGGTCAAAAACTAGGTCAAATATGGAAAATCCTTGTTAACACTCTAGTGGTCACATTTATGACTCTCCAGTCATAAAACTTGGTTAGAATGCCTGTGTAGGTAATTGCTCAGATGAGTTCGATGGGTCAGGTGAGCGATCTAGGGTCATCTTGGCCCTCTTGTTATTGAAATATATGGATTTAATATATTACACTATTAAAAGTTTTATTCCTATATAGCGTCATGTTATACCAAAGGGTATAAATGCTATAATTTTCTTATCAGGTTATCCACGGCCTTTGACGCCAGTAAAAGAAAATGTAACCAGTGCCCTTAGAGTTCAATCTTCCTTTATCTTCTCGGGACTCGCATACCCAACACCTACATTTACATGGTTCAGTAAACAAGGAACAACATGGAAGGAACTGTCAAGCAATAGTCATGTGTCCATATCAATAACAGGAGTAGATACAAATCTTACTATCAAAAATGTATCACAGTCTGATTATGGAGAATATCAGCTGAAGATTGAAAATGAAATTGATATCTTTATACAACATTATACTCTTATTCCAGAAGGTAATACAATCGGCTTTATAAAACATTTTATGTCTAACCTTTCTTTTTTGTTTTTAATGTTTATGCATGTGTTAAAATAAGCTATTTGTTATCAATTACTTCACCTTACTAAGATAATATAAGCTAATCGATTTCATTTTTGCAAGAAATTTAACCAACAACATTGGTCAAGTTTTGATCATATCTATAGTAATATTGTACAAATATCATTTTTACTTTGCTAATTTTTACGTAATTGCCTTCATGTAAATGACCAACTGCCAGTGTGAATAAAAAGGAACATTTTTTTACCTTTTTCGTAATAAAATGTTCCATATCTGAACATTTAAACAAAAAGCCTTTATTACGTTTAATTATAAAATATTCAGAAATAAGGAATAATGCATGGAAAAATTAATTAAAATTTAATGAAATAAACATAATTATAGAAATAATTGATATTAAATCAGATTAGTCTCTATATAAGCGATTATTCAACTGCAACATTGTTAGGCAACTATTTACTACAGAATTTTACTATGTTAAGTCAAAATGTCACAAAGAATGAAAACAAATCACCTTATTATTTAACATTACCTTCACGTAAACTGTCGCCTATGGATACACCTATTTTTTACGCATTTGCAATTGTGTAGCGCGCAGTTATACATTAATTTTCATTGGTGAAACATCTGAGAAAGTAGTCTAAAAATATTTTATTGCTCCGCCCACTTTCATATTTATTTTTCATATCTATTCAGTTTACAAATATGATATATATTTGGCTGATAAAGCACATTTTTCATGAGTAAAATTAAATAAATGAATATTTTTGGTTAAAAGGTATACCAGAGAATCCACGGGGATTTCAGCATTTATACAAAGAATTGACAGAATCATCTATAACCGTGCAGTGGATACCAGGTTTTGATAATGGTCCACGTCAGACATTTGTTCTAGGATACAAGAAAAATTCAGACAGATTTTGGACAGATATTAACATTCCTGATAATGGAGAGGAAATCATGATCTATACTGTCACATCCCTTACCAGTGGAACACTGTATAATTTTGTTTTATATGCAAGAAACAAAATTGGAAATTCAAGCCAAACTGATGTGTTGGGCATTAGGACTGGTAATTAAGCACTAATATGAATATAAATTTATTTACTTAATCATCATTTTTACAAATGAAAATCAGTTATGCAAAGTTGACGTTATGCATATACAATTCTTTTTGCAATCCTTTTTTTTTTAAAGAAAATATACATGTGAACGTTTGAGCTGGCTTCTAGGAAAAAAGTGTATCATTTATAAGAACAACTACATTTTGTTTCTAATGCTATTTTTACACTGAAATCATTTAACTTGCTTGCATCAAAAGGCATTAAACGCATTTTACATTCACTTAGAATATTTTAAATCAAATCTTGTAGAAACGCAGAGGGAATTAAATGTAGGCCACGGCCAACTACCAACACATTTCAGGTGCGGAGCTCCAAACGTCTTAAAATCCAAATAAAATGAAAATTTGTCAATTCCAGCACATGTATTTGTCATACATATCATTAAATCAAAACATGTATAAGTCTGACCTTGATATAATATGCTTATTTTACATGCACATGTAGTACTTAACTTGTAGGTTTTTGGGTATTCAAGAAGAATTTCTATCATCGAAAATTGAAATTCATACGTATTTCTAAGCGTGGAATAAAAACGAGTTTTTATTTTGGAAGATATATATTTTGAGTAATAAATAATTCGAAATCCTCACACTGACCCTTTGATAAGGTTATATGCGGTACGTTGAGATAGGTCCACTTTGATTCACTCGCTTTAATTTCATTTTTGATTTATAAAAGATATACTATGCTCAACTTTGATATTTGAAAATATTGATAATTGCTACACAGTATCTTTATAAATATAACATCAACAAACTTTAACTTCACACAAAGTAGATGTGTGATGTTTTAAACTTTACACACTATAGGTGGACACACTTTGAATATATAGTGTCATTAAAACACTGGTTGTTTTCTAAACAAGAATCAATTTTACTTGACCTGTAGTAAAGAACACGGCTTCCCATATATATTTTCATTCTTTTATTCACTTAAGACACATTCAGGAAGAATTTCATAGATTTCAAAAACATTCTGCAATAAAGATATTTAAATCAAAAATGAACATAGTATATCTTTAATGTATCGATTTTATTAATGTTTGATAGATAGAATCATTTGTTTAACCTGTCAATGCCTAAAGTAATGTCATAAGGGATACAGTTTTTGATCCTATACATATTAAGTAAATTACATCAATTATATCTGAAAGTATGACATAGCTTTTCACTTCAACGAAAAAAACAACAACAACAGAATTCTATGCAAATGAAACTGACTTCATTTCTTTCAGAACGATCATCAGATTTTGAAACTGATAGTTGCCATAATGAAAAAACAACAGCAATAATAGTTGGATGTGTGCTAGGAATAGTCATAATCTTACTGGCATGTTATGCTGGATACATCACTTTACTCTTGAAGCGAACAAAGGGTGAAATACGTAAGAATGTGTTTGATTTCTTTTTGCAAAATTTCATATTTAAAATATTGATTTAACATTTACATTTGAGTCTTAAGTATCATAAGCTTATCAGGCAAAGAAGTAAGCGAACACATATATATATCTTTGTTCTAGACAAATTCTTAAATTATGTTACAAATGAATTATATCGTTTACATAATACGATAATATTGATATCTACGCATTTTAAATACGCATCATTTAGAATCGTAAGTTAAGCAGTTTCTATTATTTGAGTAAATGGCTCTTTAATATCTGTTAAAGAATTGTATATTTCAGATAAAAATGAAATGCACGTGACCTCCTCGTAAGTTTAGATTTATACACATCTATATATTATTGTAAATACTTATTTGTTGACACCTAAGATGATCATGTATGGTTAAATTAAATTTACATTAGCGATTCGTAAGGGAACATAAGCATCAATTGTATAAAAACACTTGCATTAATTACTTAAATTGTATTGTTGAAATGCATATATTTATACCTTACAAACATTATTTTCTTATCTAGGACAGGGACAGGTGTCCCAGCGTATGCTAATTTATCATATCCAGCAACGGACAATAATGAACACGAGTATACAGAAATGTCAAACGCCGTATTTCCGAGTCCAAACATTGATACGAACGAGTATATGTCACTGGATGACAAGTTGAGGGAAAACAAGGAGACATATGATGTTATTAATGTAAAACGTTAGAAATTGTTTAAAACAGAATTGGATAACAAGATATTAACTGGTACGACCTGTAATGTTTGAAGATGTTGTCAAATAATTTCAGTGTTAAAATCACGTTGTAATATTTTTTATTATTGTTTGGTTGCCATATATTGAGTTATTTAAAAGTTCCACTTATTTCAGAGAATAAACAATCTGACCTGTTGATTTCAAGATTTATAAAAAATGATACTCTATGTATGTAGATAATGGTCATATTTACATACTGTATTGTTCATTTTAATTGAATATTGTTCGAATTTGTTTGTAGAAATTGAAGCTCTTTTAAAAATAATTTTAATAATTTAAAGTAGAATACATGATAGATGACAAAACAAATCGTCTGGTCGTTTAACGAACACTTGATATTTTCTTTTGATATATTAGTAGGCCATATCACTGAGTTTTGTGAAACAGGTTTTTTTCCAGAAATTTGACCTAAAGGGTTTATTATACCTCTTCATAAAAAGGGCGATAATGGTAATCTTAACAATTTTCGTGGCATCGCATTACTAAGTTACTGTGGGTATCTTGACAAATATGGTGGATCAATATATGATGCTCTGGAAAATATATCACATTACGTTTGATGACTTAAAATAGGATTATATCAGTTTGTTGTTTCATTATTATAGGTTTTAAAACTTTGACATTCAAACAGTATATTTACTGCTTCACATGAAATAACACAAAATAAAAGAATACAATTTGCAGATAACTCTACTGTAAAAAAATAAACAGAAATACAATTGTTATCTATTTGTCTTTATATTGCATAATAATATTATTTAGTCCAAGCCAGAAACAAACAATCGATTCTAGATAAAGGCATGCACTCTTAACATATATTTTGTTTAGAATAATTGCGATGCATATTTGTCTATCCCGTTCAAGTAAATGTTTCTTGGTGATATATTTCATGATGCATTGTATCATGCAAATGTCAGTCTTTGCAGAATGTATGTTTTTGTGAACCTATTACTTTAATGTTCCTCCTTTTTCACATTGACAAAAACATATATGTCATTATGCAATTGGTTCTGGATATAATAAAATTTGTAAAAATGTGTTACACTATTTATGCAAGCTATTTGTCTTAATTTTTGTTTGTTTGCACAAGAAGTCGCCAAATAATAAAATGGTGAACACAGTATGTTTCAAATATTGAAATGTTTTTGTGACATAAATATATTGTTTGAATACTAAAACGGCACATGGTATTTTTTGGATCATTGTACAATCATAGATTTTTGTTATCTGTAGTAAATGACACTGAAAAGAACAATTGTTAGTAGTAAAAGTAATACGTATGATGTAGTTTTCACATATGTTCACTTTTTTAATTAACCGTAAGTTGCTTGATACTTCATTAAGTCATTTACATTTCTTAAATTTGTGTTTTATAAACAGAAAATTATGCCTACATAGACATATGCAAATCTGCAAACGTAAATAAGCGTAATTTTGAATTTGTACGTTAATTTTATGGTTACAAAATATTCGAAATAATCGAGTTTTTAATTGAAATAGAAATATAATAATCTGTAGAATTCGTAGAAAGGCTGACATCAGTCTTTTAATGTGAATACTGTATTTGTACGTAAGTACATTAACAAAGTGGGGCGCATTTTAATTAAAGTTGATAGCTGACATTTCACAAAGGATTCAGTAATGAATAATGTGACAAACAACTAAATCGATGACCTTTGTCTCATTTTTGTAGTATATTTCCGTCAAAGTTTCAAATAAATTTGTAGGTTGTTGACAGTCTCCTCATAGCTTTTCATAAAATATCATTATTTCTTGTCAAGAGGTGGGGGGATGATAATTTCATAGTATCCAAATCTGATGTTCATAGGGATATCATAAATAACTCCTTACCAAATTATAAACATGTACAGCAGTAATGGAAGCCCAATTTCAGATATCACAATTAAAGTCCTGTGATTCAAAGTGTGGGATGCTATGACGTGCTTATTCTTTGTAAAATGTCTGTCTCATACTTTGTTCAAAGTAATTGAAAATATGTTTTTATTTAAATTGATCTAATGTAGATAAAGAATTCAGTAATTCGCTTCATCGATAACATTCAAGAAAATACAACTTTTTTAATAAATACGCTGCTAACTACCTTTTTTATAATAATATATTTTACCATGAATACATTGTCAAAGATTCTGTACATTGGGTCAGTTTTCTAGAAAGTTAATTTTATTCTAATTTATAAATAAGATTTCCACATTATGCATGATTTATCTTTCTAAAGAATACAATTGCAAGATGTTATTTTGGAATAATAATGTTCTTGAATTTTGGAAATAATAATGTCCTTGATAATTCTCTAAAAAAACCTAAAAACGATCTTTGTGTTCCTTTTTTCTGTCTATAACACTCTTCTATCTTTGTGTTCCTGTTGGATACATTACATAGTTTCCATCATTCAGCAATTACTATGAATAAAATGTCTTACTTACTTGTTGCGGAATTGATGTAATGTATTAATTGTGTTATGACATGTTAAGTTGTTATGCTGTTAAAAGCAATTCAAAAATTAAAATATTTACAGTTAAAAAGTTAAAATAAGGTATTACTATTATTTGTATCAATCAGTTAGTAGTTATACTATTTATAATGCATTGTTTGGCACATACAAATAAACTTACGTCTATTCTATATATAGATTTGAATTTTGCTCACTGTCCAATTGTTACGGTAAACAATGATCGTAAAGTTTATGTTTTACCACGCCTAGATGAAATATTGATCAATGTAATATAATATGCACTGAACTAAAGAAAAGCACCAAACCGTAGTAGAAAAGGTTTGATACACCAATATCTGTCCTCTTATAAATGTAATTGTCCGAAATCAACACAAAGAAAGTGTTATAATGCCCATTTTAATATATTTTTTATTTATATTCCAGAGCAATGTACACATACTAAAAACACTTGCTATTTAATTTTTATTGTGTGCTCGTATTTTTAAGAATCTTTAGACCGATTTAAAGATTACGACAACAAGACAACTTGAGACCTTGTAGGTGATTTTCTTGTTGCCCTGTCTTCTTTTAGGACATTAATACTTTTGTTAGGGTTATTGGGTTTACTTTTATATGTTTCTACATGATCATTTTGGTGTTTTACTTATTTAACCTTTTGTAACCATATCAACTGTTAGAATTTCACTTTGAGATCCGGCGGGGATTCGTTTTATTTACACTGTCTAGTTTATAGGAACATGGTGGGGCTAAGAGTGAGGTTTGATGCACCATTTACCGGTTTAAACTCCCTAGCAGTACTTTTGCTGCTGACCGTTCCAAGGCGGCGCCCCTCTATGTTCCTCAAATGTATGTCTTTGTTGTTTCATACAGTTTTGGTGACAATTGTGCTTGTGTCCCTTGTTGTTTTCTCGTCTACTGTAAGTATCTTCCCCTTTTCCTCTAGTCTTATTTCATTAATTTATCCCCACCTTCCCCGTGTCTCCTGTCCCCTTCTCCTGTGCTCTTTGACTTTGTGGGCCTATTATTCAATCATTTATTTGATTTTTTTGGTTTCCTTATCAGTTACCAATTATTTATCATTTTAGTGATTAGCCTGTCCGTGCTCTGCCTTGTGTCCTGTCCTGTTTTTGTTTGGGGTCCGCCTGGGGTCCGCGCCACTGGTTCTTGGTGCTGGGTCATGTGGGGGTTGCGTTCATTGAACGCCGCCTTTCCTTGTTGATCTTGTTTATCATATATTATATCACTACAAGATTATATCCTGCAGAGTAACAGGAATACAGGTAGACGAGAAACTGTTATTTATATGCTTATTCTCCTTAACAGTTCAGTTATGTAGCTTGTTCTACTGCAGCAAACATTTATAGAAGACGGTATGACATTGATTGTAATGTTATATTATGAAGGAATCATGTCAAACAAGCAGTTAGATACTTTAAGTTGTCACAATAGCCACGAGTGAAATATATTGGTTTCATACAACAAAATGAATTAAATCCTGTAAGATATTTAATGTTGCGTTGTATTTGATGTACTCATTTAATTATAATATTTGAACTTTATAGGATAAGTTATAATGTAGCTTTATGTTGTTCAAATTTAAAAAAAAAGCTACTATATAACTATGGCAAGTTCGCTTTCACCATACTTGACATTTGGTTTCATGTTTTATATGGCCTCTTTATATAAGTCATTATTGGTATTAAATTCTCTTTTTAACGAACATAGTCTGGCGATGTACAATTGTACACTAGCCTGAGTGAACAGATATATCATAATTTTTGTCGATTACAGTTTGTATCTAATAGCCTGATACACATGGCACAAAGGGGAACTTAATGTCATCATCTACCGGTAAAACTTGGACATAACCATATCTTTTTCATAGTGTCAGCTTGACTGGGAAACTCTTTACTAAAACCACAAGGAAATATAGACCGTAAATATTTCCCAAAGATAAGTTAATCATCTCAAAACGTCTCAAGGCATCGTCAGATTTACCATCATTGCATAGTTTTGCTATAGCATGATAGTCCCTAGACAGTACTTTTACGTGAAAAGTCTATTTTATACTTAAAAACATGTCTTTATCATCAGCCATCACAACATTAATATTTATATAATGACTGATTATATCACTTTATTTTTATATGAAATGTATATAGCTTATTATCTGGCATCAGACGACATTTATTTGTCCCAAGTTATCTCTTACAAAGAACACGACCTCACGCGTGCGCTCCAACTGTATACTGCATTATTATAATGAATATTCTGTGATGTCCAGACAGGATATAAAAATACGAGTAAGAGTACGTCTTAATATGCTTATCATTATAATGTTACGTTGTGAATAGATCACATATCCATGTAATCTAAGTTGTAGTTCATTATAGGGACTCAACTGAGGTTTTTTGGCATGATTGGACTGGAAATGTTTCTCCGAGATTTGTGTACCACCTGATGAAGGTATGGACCAAATTCTTTGTGCAAATGTTCAGATCACCCCTTTACCTCGTTTACCTAGTGCAAAATGCTTTTCGCTCACGTCAGACTAAAAATTGCACTTAGTATCGACTAACAGTTAATTTTAAGTATCCTTCTTATCATCGTAATAAGATTTTTCCAGTTTAAGTGTTTTTCTTTATATATATAAAACATTTGTTTTATTTGTTTTGGCTTTATGGGTGGAGTTCTATTTCACACACGTCAGGCTGAGAATGGCAGTGTTGATTTACAATTAATTTTAAGTATTCTTCTTATCATCATATACATATTTTTCAATTTTAAGTGCTTAACTTAATGTATATATTTTTCGTCTTTATTCCTTTCTGAGTGGAGCTCCTTTAATGTCTTAATTTATTAGAAGCTTTGTTTGCTTCTCTTTTTCGGATATGATTTGAAGAGATGTTTGCATTGTTAAAGAGATAAGCATGCGTTAGGTTGAATAAAACTCAGCTAATTGGATTATGTAAATAGAGGAAATTTGTTTGTTTGTGTGTAAGATGAAATTTTATTTCATCGAGTGGGCTTTAAAAACAGTATTCTCACGAGTGGCGTAGCCACGAGTGAGAATACTGTTTTTAAAGTTCACGAGATGAAATAAAATTACATCTTACACAACAAACAAACACATTTTCTTTTTATTTATGCTTAAAAACAAGTTAAAACGAAATTTCCTTAATTTTTTTGTTAATATTAAAGTCTGTTTCCCCATTTAGAGCCTCAAAAAAGTCGAATTTCTCATTAAATACAAGAAGTCATGGGCTGAAAAATAAGTTCCACAATCAACGTTAAATGGTGGTAATAGTATTCATTATATTAAAAAATATGTCTGATCGCATGTTTAAATAATAAAAACAAACAATTCTAGTAGGAGAAAAAGTCCAACCATCCATCCATATTTCTGTTACTGACTGCGATTTTATATTAGACCTGGCTATGTTAAATGTAAGCGGCCGCCATTTTTAAAGTTGTGTATTTCACTGGAGGAAAATAATTGTGTTTGATTCAGAGGGATATCATTTGAATTTGATAGTCATACACCTTTTTAAAAGAAAGAAAACTTATATGAGGATTGTAACAGACAATAAATAAGTGTTGACAGATGTGTAAACATTCAAAAAAGTGGATAGGAAATTGGAAAACTTGGAAGCCTTACGAACGCTGGGTTGTTTTACATATTCTTCGACTGAAAGCTGCCATTGCTTTTCATGTTTTCATAAAGCATACGGCAGTTTTTGCTCGTCGGATACTTAAATATTCCCAAATGTCATCAAGAGCAGTTTGGCATGTGGAAGGAATGTATTTTTCAGACTGTAAAAATGAAACAAATAATTAAAGAGACGATATTTGGTGATTGGTAATTTGAATGAATAGAAGTAACTAACTGTAAGTTTTCTTCTTTTTATTACTTTTGACATACAAGTTATTTATCAATTTCAGCTTTGATTTTCTTTAAACAGCCTGATATTGACTGAATAGTCAGCAAAAATAAAATTGAGGTACCACATGGGGAAAATCTTAAAAAAGTAGTTTCGTCATTGAAAAGTGTGAAATTATATTTTGATAATTTTCACTGAATTATCAAATATAATTTTCACGGATAAATCAGTAATCCACTGAAAAGCATAAAATAAAGCAATATATTATTTTGAGCTCTTCACTGCGTTTATCATTTTATGTTTTTTTAATGAAATAAGCAGAAAACATATGCATGTATACATTAGCAGAGCTATTCAAAATGATTTGCTAAGCAAGTCGAATTGAATTACGGTGATCTTGTTTACTTTGGATATTTAAGAAATTGCTGGAAATGTTTTTTGGTGTTTGATAAACTCTTAAGACGAAAGATCATACAAATAGAGCTGTTACTTTTTATCACTCACAATTGAATTATACAGAAATTTTCATTACTGCGTGTTATACAAGACTGATTTATCAAGTATAATTCAATTCAATTTCCATTCAATATTTTATTCGGCAAAAACATATACATGTTCATCGCCAATCTAACATATATACAATGGCGGTACAAATACAAAGAGAAAAGCATGAAGTCAGTGTCATATTTATCAATTTAATCAAATTCTGTCGACAATAACAAAACAAAAAGATACTAATATAATAGATGATCCTTAACATACATAAAATAAATTCATATTTCACAAATCACGCTTGATAGTTTACGCGCCAAAATTTAGCTTAGTAAACATATTTTGCAAGTTTATTATTAACATTACTTTCTTGACAATTTAAACGAGTTTTGGAATTAAATAAATTTGGCAAATGACAATAATAGTTAGGTAAACTATTTAGTCTAAGCTGTCTGTAAACAAGAGGGCCATGATGGCCCTAGATCGCTCTCCTGACTTATCAAACTCAGCCAAACAATTACCTAGACAAGCATTCTGACCAAGTCTCATGACAGGTGAGTCAAAAATGTGACCACTACAGTGTTAACAAGGATTATCCATATTTGAGCAGTGCGACCTAGTTTTTTACCCAGGTGACACATATTCAAACTTGACCTAGAAATCATCAAAACAAACTTTCAGATCAATTTCCAGGATACTTGGATCAAAACAGTAGCAACTAGAGTGTTAACAAGATTTTTCTATTTTTAGCTCCGGTGACCTAGTTCCACAT